AACCCGTCAACCCTCCCCCCCCCCCCCCCCTTTATTTTTAATTTATTTCTACAAAGATGAGGGAAGAAGGATCTGGAGGTGGAAAAAATAATAGCTGTATGAGTTTTCTTGTGAGTAAGAAAAAACGTGCAGAAAATCTTTGTGTTGCAGAAAGCTGCCTTCTTTGGTACAATTGGTATTATGAAACATTAAAATGTAAATTTGGGGCAGGGGGTTATGTTGTTTTGAAGAATAGGGGAAAAATCGTCTAGCTTGTCCATTAGCATCAATTCTGTTATTTTGCTGTACTGGGATTTACTAGTATCTATATTTCTTGCAATTCAGTGGTGACTTGTGGGTTTTGTTATCCTTCATTCTACAGGTGGTTATACACTCTTCACAGTAACTTGCAGGTTAGCTTTGTTTATTAGTGTCCTGGTTTCAGCTGGGATGTAGTTAACTGTCTTCCTAGTAGCTGGTACAGTGCTATGTTTTGAGTTCAGTATGTGAAGAATGTTGATAACACTGATGTTTTCAGTTGTTGCTCAGTAGTGTTTAGACTATAGTCAAGGATTTTTCAGCTTCTCATGCCCAGCCAGCGAGAAAGCTGGAGGGGCACAAGAAGTTGGCACAGGACACAGCCAGGGCAGCTAACCCAAACTGGCCAGCGGGGTATTCCATACCATGGGACGTCACATCCAGTATAGGAGCTGGGGAGAGTGGGGGAGGGGAATCACGGCTGGGGGACTGGCTGGGTGTCGGTCGGCGGGTGGTGAGCAATTGCCCTGCGCATCATTTGGACATTCCAATCCTTTCATTACTGCTGTTGTCATTCTATTAGTGTTATCATTATCATTATTAATTTCTTCTTTTCTGTTCTATTAAACTGTTCTTATCTCAACCGATGAGTTTTACTTCTTTTCCCGATTCTCTCCCCCATCCCACTGGGTGGTGGGGGAGTGAGTGAGCGGCTGCGTGGTGCTTAGTTGCTGGCTGGGGTTTCCTGTGCGAGCCCAGTGTGTGATCAGTGCGATCCACTTACTCCACGTGGCATCAGTCACATGATGTGTAGAGGACACCCTCCCTTTGAACATCCAACCCAACACTGGCAGTCGGGGTGCTAAGAGGAGTATGTAAACATTAACGACATTAGTTTATGACTCAGGAGGGGCTGCATTATTCTGCTGTGAACATATAATGTTTAAACATAAAATACCATGATGCTCAGGCAGACTGTATCACTCTACTCTTGTTTATAACTCCTGCTTTTTGCAGTGTGCAGGACTGTTTAGTTTATTTCACTGTTTCATCAGGAGTAGCGTGCATGACTTTCAAGACTCTGTGGTCCTTGCAGAGGTAATTACAGATCCTGGGATTACCTAGAAAATGGTAACACAGCACAGGAATAGATTTTAGAATGAAAAAGTGATCTAAAACATCCAAGGACTAGGGCTGAATTCCAAACATTACTAAAATCCTCCTATGTGAGTCTTGGCTCAAGCTAGTTATGAGAACAGAATGGTGTGCATAATGATCTCTTTGGAAGATGAGGTATTTATTGAACTACACTTGTCACAGTTCCCCTGCTTTAAAATGGGGCTGTCGTTCTTTGTCTGATGCGCTGTTCTAGATGGCTATCCCCAGAAGCAGTATTTCTCTTTGTCTATTTTCAGCACAGTAAGGGCCGCTGAACAATATTTAAGGCTTCTGTGGTCTAATACTGGGTAGCTACCTTGCCTGTGACTGCATTAAAACTTGTTGATAATAACATTTAAGTGATGGTGACATCCTTTTGAAGTCAGACTACTTGTTTCAAAGTTGTCAGGATAGTTATGCAGCAGTGCAGAAGTTAAAGCAACAGACAGACTTGATTTCCATTCTTGGCAAATGAGGAAATATGACTCACCCCAGGGTGTCCAGCAGAGATGGGACCTGGCCTTTTCTCAGTCAGCCTCCTCACACTTCTCCCTCCCCTCCCTGCCTGGTCTGTACACTGAACGCCATGCTGTGTCTCTGACTTTGCCTTCTGTGCTGAGGTCCCACGGACCCTGCATCCAAAACCTTTGTGTGAAAGGTGGGGGTGACAGGAACTGCATCCAAGGCAGTGAGCCACCATCTGCAAGGTGCACCTGGGGTGACTCCAAAACAGATACATCCCTTTGAGAAAGGAAACACTGTGGTCATCAAAACATGTGCCAAGGACATGTTTGGAATGGCTAGCTGTTCTCCTCCACATTTTAAATTGCAGAGCCAGAGGCACTGCTAGCAAAGCCAATTAATTGCTTTGTTCATTTGTTCATGGGAAAACTCTTATATTTGTCTTATTTAGTGGTAGACAAAACAAACTAGCACTACAAATATCTGGTCAACTCCTAACTCTAATCTTGATATTTCAAAAATAAGGGAACAGCAGTTGAGTTATTTTTCAGGACTGGCACAACAACATTAGCAATAACAGCTGAGTTCCCATGTGAAGAATAAAATATGTGTATTTAAGGGAGTAGGCGATCTATGTGGAGCAGCAAATCAATCGCCTGGGGTCTAGAAATCTACCCTAGTCCAGTTTAAAGTACCATTTGGGGACTAGAGGCATTTGCCAAAGTGTGAATCTGCTTATCCAAGTCATGTATTCTCAAATTTAGTATGTGTCTCAAACTGGACTCATATGCTGCTGACATTTGTTTCTTAACCACTGAACGTGTTCCTGCTATTGAACACTGAAGTTTCTGGGAGGCCAAAGCCCTGATGCTGTTGTTCAGCTGAGGTATGAGTGCAGAAGGTGGGTGAGAGGTGGCCAAGGATGAACCTTCCCCCTTCAGTGTCCTGCTTACCAGCAGTGGTACAAAGCCTCCCCATGGTCTGGAGCGGTCTCTCGGCAGTGGGGTTCCCTGAAAAGTCTTTGACTCTTACTCCCTACCTTCCTGTATCATCACTTCAAGAAGCCGCTGGCTTTTTGACTAACACAAGAATTTGCCTTGCTTACATAAAAAGAGAGAGTGGAAATTAAGAAATAAAGAACAGATTGACAAATGTGCACATCCTGGAAATGACTTTTATATTAAGGGACTTAAGGGAATGCTTTTCTAGTTGCATGTTCTGTAGTAAGATTTAACATGATATAATTCTTGGATGCAACATTAATTTTCAAGGTGTGACTGAGCTGGGTAGGCCAGATCAGGCATGTTTAAAACCAAAACTAAGGTTCAAGAATGTCGTGGTTTACCCCCAGCCAGCAACTAAGCACCACGCAGCTGCTTACTCACTTCCCTGCCCCCACCCGCCCCAGTGAGATGGGGGAGAGAATCGGGAAAAGAAGTAAAACTTGTGGCTTGAGATAAGAACAGTTTAATAGAACAAGAAAAGAAGAAAATAATAATGATAATAATAAAATGACAATAGTAATAATAAAAGGATTGGAATATATAAGTGATGCACAATGCAATTGCTCACCACCCACTGACCAATGCCCAGTTAGTTCCTGAGCGGTGATCCCCCCCACCCCCACTCCCCCCAGTTTGTATACTAGACATGACGTCCCATGGTATGGAATACCCCTTTGGCCAGTTTGGGTCAGCTGGCCTGGCTGTGTCCCTTCCCAACTTCTTGTGTCCCTCCAGCTTTCTTGCTGGCTGGGCATGAGAAGCTGAAAAATCCTTGACTTAGTATAAACACTACTGAGCAACAACTGAAAACATCAGTGTGTTAGCAACATTATTCTCATACCTAACTCAAAACATAGCACTGTACCAGCTACTAGGAAGACAATTAACTCTATCCCAGCTGAAACCAGGACAAAGAAGTATATAATTTTGTGACCTATATTGAATGTAAGCTCATCATGAATGTACTGGAAAAACGTGAAGAAGTAATGTCAATGGAGCATCAGTCTTCATCATACTCCAAAATTATTCTGAAGCTTTTAGGGGCAGATGAAATAGGCTGAAATTAAAAACTATTTTAACATGTTGTGTTTCCCCCATTTTTAAGATGAAAAAGCAATGACCAGTTATCAAAACCTTTTCTTTCTTTTCCTCAAATTTCTCCATGCATTACCTCCAGTACCTTGACAGGGGCCTTTCACAAAAGTGGTCCCCAGTTCTCTTTTTGGAAGTTTTATTCTTTTCCTCTCTAAGCAGCCTTCTGTAGGCATTTCCATTCACTCTGTCCTTTCCTTTCAGCTTGCAAGAAAATAATTGTCACAGTCATCTTTGTTCCCTCCAGCCAGTGTGCAGAGAAGCCCTAAACTCTGGGAGGAAGGACTTGCTCTTGTGTAACATTTCTTCATAGATAGATTGCATCCACTAGTGATATATCTAAGTCTGATATGAGTCCAGGGAGCAAAACACATGGACTCATGTGTATTGCTTGAGGTTCCTGCTCAGTACCAAATCAGCAATTTAAAATGTAATAAAAAGCAGAGAAAAATTGAGACACTTTGGGTCACAGACTTCTCTGAAGATTCTGTGGGGAAGGTCCCCTTGGCAGTGCTGCTGTCGACTACTGCACTTTGTTCCAGTGTTAATGGACTAATGTAAACTTATGTTATAAAAATCAGCATTTGCCAAAAAGAGTTTCTCCAGGCACTGTTCTGATTTCTTCCTTCCTTCTACCTCCTAAGAGGAAGATTATACAGCAAAAGGTCTTTGGGATTTCTGCTGTCTTTAAGGTTTCAAAGAGCTCTCTGAAAACTGAGAAGTAAGATTAACCATGAGGTATGTTTGCCTCATACAAGCCTTCGTGAACTTATCAACTATAATGTTCTTAGTCAAGCATCATCACAAAAATAGCCTTCAGTTTGAGTCTGCCTTCTTCTGTGCAGTTGTATGTGAACATAAAATATGAGATCAGAAGTATCTTGAATTTCATTTATAATTAAGAATTTAGTAGTTCACAAAAATTAGAGCTAGGCTGTCGCATTTTGAGTGACCACCTGTATTTGAATCTCTTGAAACAAAACTGAGCCCCTGTGAAGTAAAACTGAAATGGGTTCCTAGGCATAGTACTGCCCAAAGATGTTTGAAGCTCTGGTGAACACATTGGAGCGGCACCTCCTAAGGAGCAATTTGCTGCCCTCTTCTGGGGTAATCTTTTGCAGGTCTTGGCGAGTTCATTAGCTGTGGTTGAGATCCAAAAATCTGAGTGGGCATGGGAAAGCCAGTGGAGTTTGGTAGAGGTGATGTTTTTCTGCAGATGGAAAGCTGTACCAAGAGAGTCGCTCAGTGTTGTTTGTTGCAGGATGCTTGCCTCTAATGTGATTCTGTTGCCTCATATTTACAGGTCACGAATCAAGGGCACCGAGGAGCTCTGCCCTCAGGACCCACCTCCTCCTTATGAAGCTGTGCAGAGGCAGAACAGCTCTGAGCAGGTATGGCCCACAGGAGTTTAAAGTGTAACTTGTTTTTCCACTATAAAGTAAGGTTGCATTGAGGCACAGTAAACGTAAGTCAGGTATCTCTTCATTTCAGAATAGCAGGAGACTATGTTTGGTTACAAATGCGGCTTGCTGTAATTTTCACTGAAGATTTTAGCTAATCACTTACCTTAGAGTTTAAAAGTTTTCCCTAGTTGGAAAACCCCGTCTGGGCATGGGAGAAGAAGCAAAATACACTGTGGAGCACCCCTGTTGAGGTTATTCCAGAGGACGCCTGTGCTGTTTCCTTGCTTTACCTCCCTTCCACACCTGTACTCCTCCTCTGTGGGACTAGGTCAGGGTTTTGCCATGCTCACTGATCCCTTTTCACTGGTGTTTTCAGAAGACAGATGCTTTTACCCAGAAAATATTCAACAGGATAAAACTGCCTGACCTGGATGAAGAATATTAATTTTAGACATTCACTAGTCTTGGTTTTGCAGTGGAATTAAACACATATCACATATTCACTGTGCAGTTAAGCAAAAGTGTTCACTTTCCAAGGTGGATGTTGCAGTTCTTAGAAAGTACCAGAAAAAAGATGGTGGCTTATGATTTTTCAACTTTTCTATTTTATTCCAGGAATGTGTGCTACGAGTAAGTGTCATGGAAGTTGTTGATTCAGGGGAAGTGAGTCACAGGCAAGCCTCTCAAGGTAAGAAGTACATTTTAAAATTTTTTCTAAAACCATTCTACCCAAACCGGATGACTTAATGTAGCAACAGCATTATTATTTCTTTGAAAGACAGCCACCGTATTGCAAGCCAGACATACAGAATTGTGATTGGCTTGGGCAGTAGGAAAAGGGATTAATGTTTAAAGTATATAAAAAGTTGTTTGCTCTTAAGATACAAAAAGAAAGACATATTTCCTTCTTAGTAATTTACAAGTTAGTTGTTGACTCTGTGTCCATACGTTTTAAGAAGTGATGTCCAGCTCCAGCACTTCCATTTGTTTTGTGTATGTGATGGTGCTTGTTGACATTTTGTTGCTGATGAAGATAGGAAAGGGATAAAATAATACTGTATTGTGTTGAGCTAAATGTGGGAATTACTTTAGTATTCAGCCTGCACTGGAAAAATTACTAAATAGTTTCTGCATACTGGTACAGGACATAACTAGACTACGTGTACCTTACACTCTGGCAGGCTACCTGAAACCTCTGAAAACAAGCACTTGGATGCTTCTGATATCTCATCAGTTGTGACAACCAGAAATTCAGAAGAGGTGCAGCAAAAAGTTTAGTTCTCAAGGACTTCTGTGGTGGGTTGACCCTGGCTGGACACCAGGTGCCCACCAAAGCCGTTCTATCACTCTCCCCTGCCTCAGCTGGACAGGGGAGAGAAAATATAACAAAGGGCTTGTGGGTCGAGATAAGGACAGGAGAGATCACTCACCAATTACTGTCACGGGCAAAACAGACTCAACTTGGGGAAAATTAACTTAATTTATTGCCAGTCAAGCAGAGTAGGGTAATGAGAAATAAAACCAAATCTCAAAACACCTTCCCTTCTTCCTGGGCACAGCTTCACTCCTGGATTCTCTACCTACCCCTGCCGATGGCGGGGGTTGGGATTAGTTCATCACACCTTGTCTCTGCCGCTTCATCCTCTTCAGGGGCAGGACTCATCACACTCTTCCCCTGCTCCAGCGTGGGGTCCCTCCCACAGGAGACAGTCCTCCACGAACTTCTCCGACGTGGGTCCTTCCCACGGGCTGCAGTTCTTCACGAACTGCTCCAGCATGGGTCCCTTCCATGGGGTGCAGTCCTTCAGACACAGACTGCTCCAGCGTGGGTCCCCTGCAGGGTCACAACCTGCTCCAGCATGGGCTCCTCTCTCCACAGATCTGCAGGTCCTGCCAGGAGCCTGCTCTAGCACGGGCTTCCCATGGGGTCACAGCCTCCTTCGGGAACACACCTGCTCCAGCATGGGGTCTTCCACGGGCTGCAGGTGGATATCTGCTCCACCGTGGACCTCCATGGGCTGCAGGGGGACAGCCTGCCTCACCATGGTCTTCACCACAGGCTGCAGGGGAATCTCTGCTCCGGCACCTGGAGCATCTCCTCCTCCTCTTCCTTCATTGACCTTGGTGTCTGCAGGGCTTTTTCTCTTACATGTTCTCACTCCTCTCTCTGGCTGCAGTTTCTGTGTGCCCCACAAGTTTTTCCCTTCTTAAATATGTTATCACAGAGGTGCTACCACTATCGCTGATGGGTTTGGCCTTGGCCAGCAGCAGGTCCATCTTAGATCCGGCTGGTATTGGCTCTGTCGGACATGGGGGAAGCTTCTGGTATCTTCTCACAGAAGCCATCCCTGTAACCCACCCTCCCCCCCAAAACCTTGCCACACAAACCCAGGACAACTTCTTATTGATAAGACTGCTGTTGCTTTCTCTGGGCACTTTGAGCACAAATGAAAATAGGATATCAAACATAAGTCTGCATGGTGACTGCTTAAAGTTATGAGAATGGAAAACAGGAAAAGAATACTGTAGAAAATGCAACTGTTGTGAAGGAGTGTCAGGAAAGTGTTTTGTTTTTTTTTTTAAAAAAGCTATGATGAAGCAGTGTTTGAGGTACTGTTTGTATTTAAAAACTTCCTTTGCAAGCAGGCAGAGCCAAGCACATGTGATAAATTGTACCCTTCTCCCCATCTTTTTAACTGGTTTGTCCATCTTTTTTCCTCTGTTTTGGGGGTTTGGGTTTTTGGGTTTTGTTTGTTTGTTTGTTTTTAAATAAAAAGGCCTGTAAAGAGACATTTAAATCTCAACCTGGCTGTTAAACTCTGATAAAGAAGAAAGTGAGCATTTTAATAAAGAAAATTAATGCTGCTTCTTCTAGATGCCAAGGCTTTCTAGGGGCAATGAATTTAAGAAAAGGAAATATGCTGAACAGTATCTCTTCCTTTGTTTTTCTGGGGGAGGTGTACTGGGTCTAGCAGGGATGGAGTTAATTTTCTTCATAGCAGCCCATATGGTGCTGTTTTGGATTTGTGACCAAAACAGTGTTCGTACCACACCAGTGTTTTAGCTCTTGCTAAGCAGTGCTTGTGCAGCATTGAGGCTTGCTCCATCCCTTATTCTGCCCACCTCCACAGCATGTAGGCTGGGCATGGGCAAGAGGCTGGGAGGGGACGCAGCTGGGACAGCTGACCCAAACTGGACCAAGAGATATCCCATGCCATATAATGTCATGCTCAACAATAAAGACTTGGGGGGAGTTTTCCAGGGTTACATTGCTGGGCATCAGTCAGCTGGTGGTGAGTGATTGTTTTTGCATCACTTGTTTTTCTTTGGTTAGTTTTGTTGTTCTCCCTCGCCCCCTGCCATTAAACAGTCTTTATCGCAACCCGCAAGTTCTCTCACTTTTGCCCTTCCAGTTCTCCTCCCCATCCCCCTAGAGGAGAGTGAGCGACCAGCTGTGTGGGGGGGCTGAGCTGCCTACTGGGCTTAAACCACAGCAGGAGGGTAATACAAAATGAAGGGACATGTTGGAATTGTGGCAGAGTAACTCCATGGGCTGTCTCAGCTGATGTAGAAGAACAGTCTATAAATAAAAGCTGAACTTTCAGTTTATGCTGGTAGTCTGTTGTGCCAGGGCATTTGTGTATGATGCTGTGATTCCCTTGGCATCATCAGGACTGATCAACCAAGTGCGGCTCCTGACAGAAGTTAAAACTATGCACTACTCTGCCAGCAGAACCTGGCTGCCAGCTGCAGGAGGAACTGTAAGCTTCTCTGTGTCAGCTAAAATGGTTTTACTGACTTCAAAAGAACTCCTGTCAAGCAAAATGGGACTTTCCCTGCCGTCTGTGGTAGGAAGACGTACAACCGTCTACTGATGGCTGGGGATGCTTGGCAGCTGGTTTATATCATCACATAGTAGATATATGACTTTCCAGTACACACCAGCTTAAGCCAGTTATCTCTCTGACATCTGTAACATTAATAATATGAAGAATTATCATAAGATCATGAAATTGGTTCATTCATCTGTTTAGTAATTAAAAAAACCAACAACTTCTCCAACATACCAGCAGCACTGTACCTCAAGGACTGACTGCTAGCACAACTCCACTGGTATTAAAAAGTTTATATTGGTCATAGATTCTCTAATCCTGCCTCATTCTTGGTCCACCATGCTTTGTTGCTGGGGCCTACCTCCAGACTTCCCAGGCTGGTATCTGCTTTATATAGGTTGTGTCACTGTTTCTTCTCTTTAGAGATTTCAGGTTGCATTTGTGTAGGAGATAAGGTGCTATGCTCAACAAGTACATACCATCCAAGCCTTAATTTTCTGGAATGCTCCAGTCACTGACACATTTCTGTTAGAGTGGCAGCACAAACATTTGCCATGTTCTGGATAAAAGACTGTTTACCTTAATTTGGGTTTTTGCTCTTGCTTGAGCAAGAACATTATTTTCTGTAATATGCCAGGTGCCATCAGATGGAGATACAGAACCAGGCTTGGTGAGAAACACATAGCGTCATCCTGTCCTGTTCACTAAGAGGCAATTGTGGGAATCACAGAATATAATTTCACCCGAAGGAAAAGGAGGAATGTTGATTAATTGGAAAGAATCAACATATCATAAGAATTCAGGAAAAAATCTTTATTTTTAATAAAGAACCTCATGAAACAAGATTTTTAATTCCCTTATAGGAACTGATGACTGATTTACAAGCTACCTGATTGCAAACAGTGACTGACCTCCGTGACCATATGCTGTCATATCTTGGTACACCTGCTTATATGCAGGAGGATTTCAGGATCTGTGAAATTTAGTTTTGTCTCCAAGAAAGCTGTAGTACCTTTCCCTCTGATCAGGTAGTTTAAGGTGAGGTTTATACTAGGCACAGCTGGGGGGGTTTGGGTGTTGGTTGTTCTTTTATTTTGCTGCTCCAGTTGCATAAGGCTGAACGGGTTTCTGCAAATGTTTAAGCAGGCTTTAGACCAGTATTACTGGTGAGTGTGGGTATATGCACACATACATGCACCTCTAGGCTTTTGTGTCCAATCATTACAGATTTGGGGGGGCAGCACAAAAAAAAAAAAAAAAAAGGTAATAATCTCTAATAATGGCTTGTACAGATCTGCTTTATTCTGACTACTACTTCACCTTTACTATTCCTGATTACACAGGTGAAGAAATTCCTGAATCTTCCAGCAGAGTGAGCCTTTCACCTTCAAATGCAAGCCTGGTGCCTGCAGGAGTGAGCAGAAGAGCCTTCAATCAGTTGTGGAAATGGTCCGAAAGTGCCGAAAGTGACTCTGAGCTATGCTACTGGTTTCTTCAAGGTGACTTGATTTTCTCTCTCAGTGCTTATGTAATGAGTCCTTTAAAGAACATTTGTCAGAAGCTTAGTACCTTGAACCTAGTACCTGCAGAAATCAGCTACTGTCTGCCGAAAGAGTACCTACCTACATTACAGCAGTTTTCTGCTTTGCCCAATCTTCTCCACCCAACACCTTAGTCTTGCTGCTCTTTAGGCTTTCACATTTAAGAACAGGGTCTGTAGCAGTCATTGCTAGCTTGGGGAGGAGGGATGGGTGGTGGAAGATGATGAGGAGGGAGCACATACGATTTCTCAGTGTATTTGTAAAATGGCATCTAAAAGCTTGCAAGGGTAGTTGTCAATGTGAACAATTTAAAGCAAAGTTAGCTTGGGTATTTGGTATTAGCCTATAAATTTGCACCCCTTTTCTCACTTCTCTTAGCATCAAAAAAACCCCAAACTCAACACCATAAACCCACAGCGGAGAGCTGATGAAGTCTGTTACAGCTGCTTGTCAGTGATCCAGTTCAGCTGCTGTGGGAAAACTGCTAGTGTGACTGCAGAGTCCTTGATTCTGGTGACTACCTTAATCTACTAGTCAAGAATCTTGCAGTTTTTATTAGAGGATATTGGAATCCCCAAAGTAGCTGCTGATACACATTAGCACTCACAAAATGTAAGCAGGGAGCGGGCATGTTAGTAACAACCATTTCTTTTGAATATTGGGAGTGTGCCTATCTAGATTACACTTAGTATTTTGTGGAATGTTTTTATGTCTCTGCTACGTCATGTGTTTTGTTTTTCCTCCTATCAACTTCCACCACAGCACTCGAGAGAATCTGCTGCTGAAGCAATAGTTGCATGACACAGAGCCTGTTCATAGCTGTGAAAGCAGAGCGGACCGTTTCTGCTGTAGAGAGACTCCATCAGTCAGAAGCATTTGGGTGCTTTAGGCTCAGTGTAACTGAGGTTAGGTCTGTTCAGCACTGGACCTGAGAGTTAAATACATAAGTGCTGCAGGAAGGGAACTGAGCTACAACAGAACAACTGAAGTTTCTTCAAGTTAGTTAGTGCTCTTCTTACTGGGAAGTTTTGCATCTCCTCCTGGTATTGTTGTGTTTGGCATAAAGCCAACATTAAAGTTCTTCTGGAACAACCTGTAGGTGCTCTTATTTATTTTTTTTTAACAGGGCCAAAAATTTGTGATTGTTATTTAGATCAAAAGCAGTGGAATTGATTCCCTCTTGCCCCTTGCTTAGTCCTTGCAAGGTAATTTTGAATGTTGAGGTTTTGGTTGGTTTTTTTTTTCCCCTTGTATTTCCACTTTGTAGTATTACTAGCTTCCAGCTTGACAAGCAATTATTTTCAGATATTTTGTAACTAGCCCTCCTGACTGATAATAACTGAAAGTTACAAAGAGTGTAGGAGAGCTCAAAGAAGCCTTCAAGCTTTGCTTAACCTGCTTTATATAACTGTATGTTACATTAACACTCAATGCTCATTTCAGGTCCGTTCAGAAAAGAAGAAAAATAGAAAGGAACCAATGTACACAAAACGGCAAATAGCTTTCCCAGAAATGTCCCTCCACACCCTTTGACATGTGATATGTACTAAAACACAGTCATGTATGACTCTATCTTATAGGCATTTTCTCTAGTGTAAATCCAATACAGAGTGAGCCTTGTGTGCCACCCTGACCATGCCAGACTGTTAAGTTTTACATGGTTAAACTCTGCACTGCATCATCACTGAGTCAGGATTGAAATCTCAGGGGATACTTGTTGTACAACAGTACTGTGAACCAAGTGGATTGTTTGCTTTGTTTGATCTTTTTCTTCAGGGGCAGTGCTCAGCTGTGAAGCTGCAACGCAGGCTAAATTAAAGCTAGAACTCTGCACTGTCATCTTGCAGAAGAGTTTGAGACCAAGAGCTTTGGCTGTGACAGGCTTTGAAATCCAGTGTTTGACAGACAACAAGATTTACACATACGTTAAACAGCTTGTGGCACAGAACCTAAAGCAGTCATCCAGCAGCATGAGCCTTGACATACGTGAATTGGTGGAAAATACCAAGTCTCTTTTAAAATCAGATGAGAAACATGGCAGAGGCTATCACCAGTGCCACCTTCTTTGAGCAGGTAGTTTTATTACTTGTTTTTGTCAGGTGATGTGGAAACCCACTGGCCTTGGTTTGGGAGTATAGGTTTACATTTGCCACTGTTCTTTGTGTGTTGAAGTTTCTGAACCCATTTAGCTTCCTTCGGTACTTTAGTTTTATTTAGGGAGTGTGCAAGAGGCTGTGCAGCTATAATGTCTCTTTCTCTATCAGCCACGCAGGTTTTCAGAAGACTGAATATGTGTGTATTTAAAAGCTGAAGGAGATGGTCTTCTGTGGTAGAATCACAAACTGTAAATAACATGACAGTGTTTATACTGAGCATGGCAGGGGAGAGGGAAGAGATGTTATAAAGTATTTAGTATTATAAACTGGAAGGAATGGAGGCTGACAAGGACATTTTTATGCAAACCCACTAGAAGCAACTTTTTTTGATTGGCTCCCAGGATAAAAAGAAGGCCTAGTACTAAAGGAAAAAAAGGAGAAAATATGTGCTTATATTAATGGAATGAATATTCAGAAGTTTCAGACATTACAGACTTCATCAAACAAATGTTTTGGTGGCTTACAGACCATTTGGATAGATGAGCTGATTCATGCATGGTACAAGTGATTTGCTGTGACAACTGGTTTTGGTTTGAGTTCTCATGCAAAATACATCAAAGATTGTAATTTAGGCTCTACAGATAAAATGAGATTTCCCACTGCAGCCTACAGGCAACAAAAGCCTCAACAAATTTGACAGAAACAGCTGGAAAAAATTCCGTGTGAGAATTTAATTTATGACACTAGCCTGAAGGTTATTACAGTCCAGGGGCTTCTGCAGGAAGCAACATTTAAACTCTTATTAAGCAATACCTGACATGCCATGGTTTGGGGTGAGCTAATTTTTGTGCAGCTTTTTTTTTTTTTTTTTTAAAAAGACAACAGTCACTCAATTTCCCAAATGGGTTTGCTTTTTCCATGCCTCCTTGACAAATAGCAATTTTAGTCTCAGCTTTTTTTATTATTCTTTAAAAATAACAGACAACACTACAACTACCTTCTTTCTAATTGAGTAAGAAACTATTATAATGGAACAAAAACGTGAAAACAAATCTGATTTACATTTTTGTTTTTCATTTTAAAGGTGATGGCATCTGCTGAGCAAGCCATGTCATTGTGTACCTGTGTGTTACCTTTCAGACAGCACCCTGGATTGCTGTATCTGGAGAGCTGTGGTGACCTGAATACTTTCACCGCAGATGAAGATTAGCTAGCAGAGGAGGATCCAGACAGGAGAGCATGAACAGCTTCAAAGTCTTGCTGGCGTTGTCAGGGAAACTGTATTTTGAGCTGGTTTCTGTCTTTCTGTGTTTGAGCTGGTTTCTGCTTATTCCTCAGTAGAGTATTTCTGTCATACATACATGCTGCACAGGAAAATAATCTCTGACAAGTGGGTGGGAGAGTGTGTTGACAATCCATTTTTTTTATACCCTCACGCTCAGACTCCTAAGGGGAAGCTGGTTCCACAAAGCCTATTAATGAGATTGCAAGCTGGCCTTTATTTGGCTCTCAGGTGCAACTAGTCTGTTTGTGATAGGGTACTGTCCTATTGCATCTCTCCAGTTTATCACCACTCAGAATGGATTTGCTTTTTTAACTCAGCTTACAAGAAAGATGGCAGAATGGCTGCATGCCTTGGTTTACTGGGGTGAGGCAAGGCACATGTGCACTTTATATCGCATTGGAGAACAGGGCCAGTGTCATTGCCTGTGTTCATCTGGTCTGTGTTACTGTAGGTCCACTGATCTTCTATTTTTTTTTTTTTTTCTGGCATATAGCAGTTTGCTTCCTAGTAGAGGTGCTTGCAAAGTACCAGTTGCCATCTGTGCTGGAATCACCTACGCAGCCTTCTCAAATCCTCTGCAGACGTGCAGGTGACCACCCAGCATTGTTTTGGCAGTCTTAACCACTAGGCCACAGTGACCCAGGAGCTGACACCCTCTGGCTAACAAATGAATGTATACACCAGTTGGCTCAAGCTGTTGACTGCAGATAGTTTGCTAAGCTGTGTTCTAGATGTATGCTGCTAACGCGGAATACCCTAAGTATTTCCAGAGGCTGGGATCAGGTACACAAATTTTATTTGCAAGGCTAGTTGTATCCTTCTGTGTCTCATCAGGATGGCTAAATATTCCTGCTGCTATTTTAACAGTAAAGTTTCATTTAAAAATTATTAAACGGCTTTCCACTGAAAACCAAAAAGCTTCAAACTGAGTTTTAATTAAGCTTGTTCAGAAGTTGAAACTGTGCAGTATGGCTTGACTGACTAAAGATGATAACTTTAATAAAAGAAAATGCTTATCTCTATACCCGAATGGATGGTTTATTTTTCCTGTCCAGTAGAGGAAATACATAGGGGTATTGAGTTTGCTGGAGCATTGGCATATTGGTACATTTTGCTTTCGGAAGTAAGAACATAGCAAGTAAAAATTGAGGGGTTTTGTCTTGGAGAAGAAAACACCACAAGAACACACTGCTTCATTATGCTGGCTTTTATCTCAGCTATGTTACATATTTTGCAATTCTATCACGTTTAAAACTCCAACTCTTCTTACATGCATCATCGTAAGTGGGAGTTCTTTCAGATCTTCTGAGTTAGCTTCCTTTTCCCAGTTAACCATTGCCCTTCCAGAACTGTGGAAGAGGAAAATTATGCATATCCCATCATTGCAAACTGTACTTCCAGTAGCTTTTGACAGCTCTTACCTTGCTGTCACACTCTCTATATAAACTCCCTGCAACCCTACTAGAAGAAAAGTCTGCAAAGGTCCCTGGGCTCCAAGTCAGGATGCAACATAAGCTTATGCTTCAGGAGACTTGATCACAATTCAGTTAATTGCTTGTTATCCCAGTGGAACAGGACTAAGCTGAGCTAAACTTATCAGCCAGTGGACAGTGCTTCATATAACAGGAGAGAAAAAAATCTGATCTCAGTAAATTATCTGCTTACCATAGCACTTAATTTCTAAGTGACTAGGTAATTACTCCAGGACGAGTGCCACAATTATTTATAAAACCTATCAATCAAGTTATTAGCCAACTAAGCTGTTACCTTAGCGACTGGCACAAAAAGAGATGCATTTTTTAGCAGGTCATGCTTTAGCAGACACTAAGAGAAACAATGTCGCAACAGCCACTGTTCCACCAGAGGAAAAGTTAGAGAAAAATACATATTCAGTCATCAACTTTTCTGTATAATACTCACCTTCATGTTACCACAGGCTTCTCTGCAGACAACAAGGAACAGGTAGGGCAAGTGGCTGAGGCCATCTGGAATCTGTTAGTCAAGAATGGGCTAGACATTCCATCTTCTAAATGTCAAGGTTGGGGACAAGAAGTCAAATTCCTGGGGGCATGGTGGATAGCTGGAGCAGTTGTGGTACCTGATGATACTCTATCAGCTATTGAAAAGGGACAGACTCCAGGCAATAAAACTGAATTACAACAGCTGTTAAGTACTTTGGGCTACTGGAGAAAACATATACCAGGGTTTTCAGTGATTGCCCACCCTCTCTATGACTTGCTCCAAAATAATAGGAAATGGGATTGGACTTTGCAACATAGAGAAGCCCTTAACACTCTGAAAAATGAGATTAAGGCTTATCAGAGACTAGGTCCATTGCACCCACAAGATCGATTAAGGGTGGAATAGGGATTTGCTGAACATGCCTCATACTGTGGCATGTTTCAAAAGGGGCCACAGGGACCAGCTAGACCATTATTATTCTCTTCCACTGCATTCAAAGAGACTGAGTGACGATATTCAGGTTAGGAGAAGGGGATTCTTTCCCTCACTAGAGCAGTTAGAGGCTGAAAAGCTGCGTACCTCACAGAATGTTATAGTACAGGGTTCTTTCCCTCTCTTAAATTCAATCCTCAGTGGGTCACCTCCTCCAGAGGCAGTAGCCCAAAAGGCCACAGTTAGGAACTGGTATGCATACCTAGAAGGAATAAGCCAATTGCTCCCACTAAAGGAGGGTTTGACTAAGGTTTTCAAACTACAGCAACCTGCAAACCCTGACCCAGCCTTGCTGGGTCAACCTTATAAACCTTCTCCAATTGAGGAGGCACCCGAATTCATGGCAGGCTCAGATGTGCAGGGAGTGTGGTTCACGGATGCATCTGCCCATCAAGTGGGATCAAAATGGCAATATAAAGCAGTAGCATTAGAAATTGGTACTGGGAAGAAAGTTGAGGAAGAGGGTGGAGGTAGTGCACAAGTAGGAGAACTATGAGCTTTATTACTGGCCATAGAGAATGGTGCTACCATCATCTATACTGACTCTTACACAACCTTGAAGGGTGCTACAGAGTGGGTATGTCAGTGGGAATCTAGTAAGTGGGAAGTAGGTCATGCAAAAGTGTGGAGGACAAAGGACTGGCAACGTCTCCTGACAATAGGGAGATCCTGACCTTTAAAGGTGGGATGGGTGAAGGGACATGCCTGGGATGGAACCCCAGCTGTGAAATGGAATCAGCAGGTGGACCACCTGGCCCAAAGCAGGACAGTCACCAGTGAGAAGGAAGATTGGGATAGACTAGCAGAATGGTTGCATATCAAATGGGGCCACTCAGGGAAAGCAGATTTCTGTTATGAATGCCAATCTTGGGGTTGGCCAGCACCAATGAAAACCTGTGAAGCAATTCTTACAGCTTGCCCGCAATGCTGAATAAGGCTTAAGCCTAATCATGCAAACCAAGCTCTGGCCCAGCATATCAGACAAGGCAAGGCTCTTTGCAGCACGTGGCAGGTTGATTACATTGGTCCTCTGAGACCATCTCATGGGAGTGGAAAGACTCACCACATCAGTGCCCGGTGGATAATCCCAGACTTCTAACCCCGTGACCTGGTTTTAAGACAGAGGCCTAGTTTGTGCTTTCTTTTAGGGCAATGAAGAAACAAGGCATTCCAGTGCTTCTACTGGCAGCGATGATGGTGGCAGGCATGGATGGTGAAGATCTGGATGATAATGTCATGGCAAAAATGATGGACATCAGTATCATGAGCCCTTGAGTTCACATGGGAGCAATGCAATGATTGTAGCTGGAGTTTCAGATTATATGGGGGAGGAGGTTATAGTCATGTTGTTTGTAGTTGGTCACCAGATGTGACTATACACTCCAACTAGCTCATGAGATCACGGAGTGGAGTTGGAACAGTACTACATCATGCCCTGAAATTCCATAGGGGTGACTATGTATGATACCCAAGAAAATACCGACAGAGCACTCTAGAACTGAGTTTACAGCTATCCACCTTAGCCAATGCTACATCTAACGATTTGGGGACTCTCAGACAATCAGTTACAACATATTGGTAAAATGACTATCAAAAGTGGGCTGTATTGGATTAGATGCCAAAGAAAGAGAAGGGTATATGTAAATTTTTGAACATATGAATGGACAACTGCTGTGTTCACTCCAAATGTGTCAATGTGGCTTCAAGACTAAATCAATGAGAGAATATGGCAAGAGACTCGGAGGCAATTGCTTCTGCACCAGGGACCAACTGGTTGGGAAAAGTTTTGATATGTTCAGGTTTTCTTTCATGGGGTGGGCGACCAGCCTTCTCTAATAATGCTTGTGGTTATGATTACTGTAATCTATATTGCAATAAGTTCTATCAAACACTTGGTAGTGAAGCCTGTATTAACAATTAAGTATACGCCCTTAAAACCTGTCCATACCCTGGATATTCCACTTTTTAGTTCTAAACCAGAAGGGAATGATGGCCCACAATGAGCATCAAATTCATCAGACTGCACGCCCTTCTAACTTTGGAGGCAAGAGGTGACTGTACCCCCACTCCAAGGAAACCAGATGAATCATGACTGTGGTCACAGGGTGGATTGTGTGGCAGTACACTCCCCCCTCCCTGCCATCCCGCCATCAGGAAACAAGACTTCTCCAGGCAGGGAGAAGGGGAAGGAAAAAAAACCTCAACCTAAACCCTGGAGGCCACAGCTTGAAATTTGAACTGGCCAATTGAGAAGCACCAGGTACACTGAGGTGACCTTCCTGGACAATAGGGATTAAACGACCACAGGTCAGATTTGACAGGGGTATAAATAGGGTCCTGCTGGAGGACATGTTGGAATCACTGCAGTCAGGGACTCCCCCTCAGGTTGGGGCACCACTCGAGCTAACTCCTCGAGGGAGAGAACCCTCAGCTTTTAGGTGAGTGATATGCACCTTTTAAGCCATCACTTTAAATCTTGGGGATTCTTAAGTTGGCCGTGTAGTACTAATTCTCTTTACATCATTGAGCCTGTGGTTTTATAAAATGTTA